GAACTGTCACCCCGCTCCTATATAAACCAGAACTGTAAACCAAAGGCTAACTAATAACCCCGCTCCTATATAAACTAGAACTGTAACCCCCACTCCTATATAAACTAGAACTGTCACCCCTCTCCTATATAAACCAGAACTGTAAACCAAAGGCTAACTAATACCCCCGCTCCTATATCAACTAGAACTGTAAGGCAAAGGCTAACTACTACCCCCGCTCCTATACAAACTAGAACTGTAAACCAAAGCCTAACTAATACCCCCGCTCCTATATAAACTAGAACTGAAAACTAAAGGCTAACTAATACCCCCGCTCCTATACAAACTAGAACTGTAAGGCAAAGGCTAACTAAGACCCCCGCTCCTATATAAACTAGAACTGTAAACCAAAGGCTAACTAATACTCCAACTCCTATATAAACCAGAACTGTAGCCACCGCTCCTATATCAAACAGAACTGTAAACCAAAGGCTAACTAATACCCCCACTCCTATATAAACTAGAACTGTAACCAAAGGCTAACTAATACCCCCGCTCCTATATAAACCAGAACTGTAACCCCCGCTGCTATATAAATCAGAACTGTAACCCCCGCTCCTACATAAACCATTTTCCGATAAATCATTGACCAAGCTACAACGGATATATTTCCACCTGTCAATCAAAATGGTAAACAATGACAAGGTGTAAATACATACATGCTGTTCAGGTAGCCTTGCCAACCATTGGAATTAATAAGAAAGCATGTTGCAAATATAACGTAAGCGTTGACTGACACCTCAAATACGGGGAGATCTGCACACTGACACGGTCACCTGACACGGGCAGAACAGGTAATTGGAATATAACGATGTTGTTTTCACAACAATAAGTTTCAGAAAATATTCAATCTTATATATGGATAATTCTTCTACTTTTTTTTGTTATGAAATACACTTTTCCAAGTAATTTTTTGATCGTCTGCAAATCGGACTGAATCGGTCTTCGATATCGGCAGAATGTATAACTTACGCTTCAAGGCAGTCATGATCACTCCGACGAGGACCGCTAACAGCCGAATTCGCGAGACACGAAGAACACCAAACAATTGTGATTTCAGCAATTTTCCTTCGAAAGGAAAAGATCGGAATGTATTTGGCTGTTTTGAACCCGTTGATATGTATTTTTCAAACTCAAACGTTTATCATTATCGGTTCAATTCTCATGGATGTCACTTGTAAATTCCTGCTCGTTAATAGTATCATGCGACCTTGACTCGTTGTGGTACACAGACTTGCTAACTTCACCACTTTACCCATGTCGTTTTGACACATTCCTACTGTCAAGATTGAAGAGTTCAGCATGGTTTTACCCAAGAACGACATTTTAACCACAGAGTGATAAATGTGATACATATCTTCGTTATGTTTCCTGATACGTGGTACAGTATTTATCAATTCACAACGTAACGTCCTGAAAAGTTGGGCCTACATTACTCAAGTTAATTTATCCGATTCTATTGTATAATATGACTTAAACTTGCAAATTTTCGTAATTGCTAAATTGGCAATGCAATCAGGGATTATTCAACGAAATTAAGCAGTTTTATTGCTGCGAGCATTATTTCAAAACATTTCCGAAAATTTACGAGAAATTGTCGCGACCAAGGACTGGTTTTGGATTGTTCTTGAGTATCGTGTACACCCCTTTCTTGACACTTCATTTTTCCCTTAAAAAAGTGCGCACTATACGCAAATATTAAAGGTAGTCGTTGGTCAGACATGAAATATCTAAATCAGTCAATAGCAATTTATTATACGACAATTTACCCCTTCGGGAACCTCAAAGGTGCCTGATTCATACTCGTAACATCTTTAGGTTATATGTAATTCCCGTGGGAAATTTGGAACGCCTTTAGGTTTTATGATATTCCTGTTTAAAAAGGAAATCGATATCTGAGTTATCAAAGAGCTTGTAACAGCCCAAGACATCAGAGGTCAAAATCTGGGACTGAAACCGAAATTAATAGTCCCCAGGGGTGACTAAAAATACTCACACTGTACCACAAGGTTGAGGACGGACTGGGTATATAGCGTCCCAAACTTCTGAGATGATGACGTGGCATTACATGTGTACCGCCCGGCCTTGTTCCTGTTGATAGATGGTAAGTCCAGGATATTGTTGGTCGAGGAATCCCGAGGATACCAGGTAACAGTAGGGATGGGGTTACCTACAGCTGTACAGGTACACCGGTAATTGTCTGTCTCGTTAACTGTTTCTGGACAGGCCGAGAGTGTTATAATCGGGGCATCTGTAAGCAGAAACGAAAAATAAATAGAAATATAACTGAGTTTAATCTGCAATTTCAGACAGTTGGCCATCATCATGTCGTTATAAAATTATAATGTTTCCAGGGCTTTAGTGTGTTCTACTAAGCTGATGCCATTAATACTTTATTAATTAATGTATCACTGTGCAGGTACACTGGTAATTGTATGGCTGGTTAACTGTGTCAGGACAGGCAAAAAGTGTAATAATCGGGGGAATATGTAACTAAAAAATGTCTTTCATAGCAAATAAAAACAAGAGGCCCATGGGCCTTAACGGTCACCTGATATATTTATACAGAGAGTTGATTTCATTTTTAACATGAACAGAAATATTATTCAAAGTGACAAAAAACAATAAAAACAACTTATTCAATATCAAGCATACAGATTTCAGACTAAAAAGGATTTGAAACTAGCACCTCTGATTCTAAACAAGGAAAATGAAGAAATTTTAGCACACTGACTCCCTTGAGCCCCACCCTACAGCCCTTGGGGGTAGGGCTGGCTCAAAATTTTCAAAGTATCAAACTGTCAACTCAAGGTTATAATT